CCTGACTTGTCCCCACGTTTGCCTTTGCGCAATTAGCCATGAACGCCTGGTGGCCAAAATCAAGTTTGCGGTTCACTTTCATGAACTGCCTAGACAGAGGAGTACACAACACATGAGTGTGCCTCTCCTCAAAGGAAAAGACCCAATACCCTCTGGTTTGGTCATTTTTAAATACGATCCTGGCCTTACACCCCACCCTATTGGAAACTCTACGACGCTTTTGAGTCACCGGGCAACTATCATCGTAAACCCCATGCCCCCCCGCATTGGGTGTGCCACCCGAGACAGACTTATATCCCTCGCGATTACAAAGCAAATGCCTCAAAATCACCTCCCCACCCCTATCCTTCTTCAGTGAACCACACCTAACATCAAACCCCACAAGAGCAGCATACTTTATATAGAATTCCTCACCCTCCGTTAGAGTTTTAAAAGTCTGACCTATGACTGGCTTACTCCCATCATCACATTGTGGCCACCAATACTTTGATGACCCAGGCGATATTTGCAGCCGACAACCTTCACCCCACACCACTAATGTTACCAGCATGATCATCTACACCGGAGAAAAAAACCATGTTAGAAATGAATTCAAACAGAAACGAAAGCTATAGCAAACACTACAAACCTGAACACGCACTCTACCCACTACAAGTAAGAAAACAAACAACACATCGTAAATATTAAATATATTTGGCCACACAATTGATTAAATAAACTATGATGACATAGTACACATGTTTGCACCGCATATCGACTTCATAGGGAAAGGCTTTACTATCCAAATCCTAATGTAATGAATTAAAATGAGAATAAGTCAGGTTAGAAATTTAGTTAAATCAGAGACCTAAAAGGAAAACACCAATATTGGCACATTTAGATACAATGTGTTAGCGAGGTAAAGAAATTATGGACATATTAGTAGACGTCCAGCAGCACTGCACCATCAACATAAAGAATAAGACACAACTACACCGGTTTAGTTACTGCTCTATAATAATTCCCCCACCCCTACAAAAAAGAGGTGTTTGAGCCTAAACCATGCGTGCTATCAAGAACGCATAAGCATATTGGACGCAAGGCTGGAATTCCCACATCGTTTAATGTATATATATTTGTCCACACAGATGAAAGAAAAAACTAAGATGACATACCAAACAAACCATCACACCAAAATAGTAATCCTTTCTTGCCGTACTAATCTGATATGCGTTTGGTGCACCACCCTAAAGCATCCATGTTCTACAGTGGTAATACACATAGCTACTAATCCCTTAAGAATTTGTATTCCTAAACACATAGTAATCTATAATTCCAACAGCACTGGGAAAAGAGAGCTTTAAGCCCTACACCCCAAAAACTGTGAAGCAAGCATATGCAATTCTTCCAGCCGTGCAAAGTGAACAGCTTCAACATAACCATGTTAAGGAAAAAAAAACACCGAATTAGGAAAAAAAATGAGTGCACTTCTATCCAAAAACACTTGAGAAAGAATCATTTCTTCAAAGCACTACCAATTAGAAGCCAATAAAATGTAGGAAAATAAAAGAAATCAACAGGGCAGACTAGACATTCATATATGAACCTGATCCATTGAATCTCATCTGCACCCCAGGTTCAACAGAGCAGCTATGAGAATATCTTATTGAACTCCAATTTAACCAAAAAAAAAAAAAAAAACCCACAATCTATTACTGCCTGTCCACCCCCACCCCCCGGCCCCTTTGACTGGAAAAGAAATCACAGCAAAAAGGATTAAGAAAAGAAAAGAAGAACAAACCAGTCGCCATCTGAGATCAGAACACTTTGCACGGGCAATAACTGCTGTGGAAACGAAAAGCACGATGGGAAGAAGCGACCAATGACTAGTAGTCCGGCAAGAGGGAAGTAGCACATGACGCCTTCGGGCTAGAATTGAAACGGAGTCGTCGGAGAGAACTTAGGAAAACGCCAATCCCCTCAACTTTTGGTGCGTGCAATAAATGAAATACTGAGATTACGATACTACCCACACTAGGAATACTGTGCAATTAAAAGGTCAATCTATACAGCAAATAATAAGGCTGTGCAAAACGGTCAGTTAATATTGCACAACAAAAATTAACCGTTAGATTGCCTAAGATCAATGGCCACTAATCAACCACACAATCTCACCTAACAAATTATTCTCACCTGATTAGAATTCTATATATATATATATATATATATATATATATATATATATATATATATATATATATATATATATATATATATATATATATATATATATATATATAAAACATTATTTTATATTAATAATGAGATGTGTAATTTATAATGTGTTTTCTATTCAAATTAATTGTGTTTCATATTTTGTTATGAATATTTTTTATAAAGTTTTGATGTGTTATTTTTCTCCATATCTAACAACTAGTATTTTATATGCGCGATGCGCAAAAAATATATGCCCAATATTAAAATTAAATATTAAAAATTTAGTTATATTAATTTTTAAAAAAATAATAGTGTGTGTGTATATATATATATAATTGTATAATTCATATTAATATTTTTGAGGTAAAAATTATAGAATGATAAATTACTATATATAACTATGGTAACATTTTAATTAAAACCTAAATGAATTAAAACTTATCATTATTGAAGGATGTAAGAAAAAATTATTGTGTATGCATGTACATAGTAATAATAGTGTGGAAAGATAACAACAGAGATATTTTTGTCCAAAAAATTATGTAGTACAACTTTTATAGCATAAGGTACAAAAAAATTTAACAGAAAAAATAGACAAAAACTAGGGGTATAACCTAAATTAAAATTTATTATGTTTTTAGATATTTACAACTATATTCCTTAGGTAACTATTAAATAAACTCCCCACAAAAAGTTGGCATAATTGGAAAAAACAATAAATTCTCAAAGAAATCGAAGTGTCGTACTACTAAACTTGCACGGCAAATAATTATCATTCTTCCCTATAATTGGCAAATAATTATCATTATCGATTTATCGTACTGAACAGTGCCCACCTCACTTACTTTACTATTTTTGAAAATGATATTTTTCAAGCATCGTCCAAAAAGGAATAATTTTCAAAGAATTTATTTAGATGGGAAAAGTATCATAAAATTAAGTACAACGTAAATTATTACCCAACTAATTAAATTATATGTACTTCTAAATTATTGCGATACTAAATTTACACTTTAAATAATTGATGGATTAAATTCACACATAAGTCACAACATATGGATTAAAAATGTATACTAGTCAGATTTGTTAGACAATTTGATAACTACATTTTAAGTTCGACGACATTCTCGGTATGAGTCGATCAACTATAAATAACCAATGCTAGTTTCATACAGAATGCACCTTTAGGTAATAACTACAAGCTTTTCAATAAATCAAAGATTAAAAGTAGAAATCGATGCACTCCAAGTGATAAATGACCTGAACACCATAGGGTAATATTTTTCATTTGATCTTATTTTAATTTAATGGATGCTAAAGATTTATGCAATGTATCATCGTATGCATTTATCTGCGATTAGTGATACTAGGTTGTCCGCATTCTTGCTCGGAAGTTTGCTTTTATGACTGATTGCATGAAGTGGTTTGATAACCTTCCTCTTTTCATTTATAATGTTTTATTTAAACTATGATCTTTAGTTAATGAAATTCTCAGTTACTTAAAAAAAATGTTTTTTTTTTTTTTTTCATTTTTTAGACTTAACCAATGCATGTTAAATAACGAAAATATGTGCTTGGGTCTAAATTTATGAAATTTTTACCTTAATTTTAAAGTACTAGTGTCAAATAGCTTGAATGTATTTTTTTTTTTTTTAGTACTATTGACTATGTTACAATGTAATATTTGTTTATATATACTTTCTTAAGAGAAAATTTCAATTTTGGTCATATGATTATATGGGCTTTGTTAATTTCAGCATCTGACTTTTAAAAGTGTCAATTTAGTACATTGACTATGCAATTTTTATCAATTTTGGTCACTCCGGTCAAATTGCCGGCCAAATTTTATCGGAAAATTTTAACAGTTAAAATAATAAGGGTATTTTAGTCATTTCACATCTCTTCCTTATTCTCCGACGATTTTTTTTTTCGTCGAATTTTGATCACTCCAGTCGCACGTGATCCGATCGCGCAGAATACTAGCTTGGCGTTGGTCAAATTGAACTACTGCTGGCCCATCTCCATCTCCGCCTACGGCGATACTACCAAGATCTCGCCATCGGTTCAGCAGGCCCTCAATAACACCGGCATTGCCCTTAACCATGTCCCTACAGGTATGTATCTCTATGTTTGTAGTGGTTTTGGAAGGGTTTGAAGCGAAGAAAACGACATCGTAGAGAGCGCACCTGAGCAATGGTGTACGAGTCGATGCCAGTGGTCCAAGGCAAGGCTGCAAAGCAACTGAGTTGTTTGGCGTGAACATCGTTGGTGTTGAGCCTCGGGGTGTTGATGCGGGTCAGGGCGACCCGGATCGCGACGATGGTGTTCTCCGCCTGAAAAAAGAATTCACCGGAGAAGAATGAATAAATGTGAAATGACTAAAATACCCTTATCATTTTAAATGTTATAATTTTTCGGCAAAATTTGACCAACAATTTGACCGGAGTGACAAAAATTGATAAAAGTTGCACAGTAAGGGTACTAAATTGACACTTTTGAAAGTCAGGTGCTGAAATTAACAAAGCCCCTATAGTCATATGACCAAAATTGAAATTTGCTCACTTTCTTAATTATTGAAGTATAAAGAGTCAATATCAAAGGCTCAAACACATGAACTCCAATTTGGGCTCGAATATATTTTGTTATTTGAATTCTATCAAATAATATTAACATTTGTCTCTACCATATTCGATAATTCTTTTCAACCGTACAATAAGTATTTGTTTTATTATTTGGTATAAAAAATTGAGAGAATAATAAAATATCAGCAAGCACTGTGCGGCCTCTACTATCACCGATCCGTGTCCCGACAGACACCCCCTGATCGCGACAGGATAACGAATCAAGCAATTTGAGAGAGAGAGAGAGAGAGAGGGAGAGAGAGATCTTTTCGTTGACAGAGATATCTACTCTGTATCCCATACAGTGTGTATTAATGATTATATTATCTTGATTTATTGAATTTCCCAATTTACTGTGAGATCGATGAAATGTGAGTGCAACGTAATCCGGATCTTTCTTTTTCTGATTCAATAAGATCCGCCTGGTATCCAATTGAACTGCCCCGGGTTTTGGCTTGGAAAGATGGAGAATTGTTAGAAAAAGGTGGTGAAGGTTGAATTTCATGAAATAGTGTGGAGAATTTGATGAAAAATTGGGGTGGAAATTGGCTTTTGGGATGGAATTGGGGAGAGTAGTAGTGAAGTGATCAGAGCAAAAGCAAATTTTTGGGAAATTGCAGTCCAAAAGGTATATTTTCAGCTTTAATTTTACGTGATTTCCGTTTTTGATATGGCATCCTGCTGAAATTTGTAGCTTTGATTCACGCATTAGGATTATTTGTTGTAAACTTAATTATTCGTAAAGGTTGAGCTTTATACATGATATATCATTCAATCTCTATAAAGTTTGTAACCTTTTTAGGCATCCTTTGCCCTGTGCAGAGAATGCTGCTTTTTGGGGGTATAATTAATAATTCAATCCCTATTATTAATGTTGAGGTTATTTGAGTTGAATGTTTCAAATATATTTTTACCCTGTTGCCTTTATAGCTCATGTTTTTCTGTAGATTTCCCCATGATATTTGAGGTTTGTGAGTATATGTGTGGCTTGGTTTTAAAGTAATTTACGGTTGGGGGGTCTGAAATGTACTGAAGGAGATGAACAAGACAGGATGGTGGACACCCTCCCTCAATCAGGGATATATCATCATCACACCGTACTAAAATGGTGGAGTGATGTTGTTGAACTAGTCATTTTGCCCCCACAATGTTTCTGTGAGTTTACAGACTGTGTAGAAGTAACATGCATTCTCTGTTTGTAAGGTAAGGTAATGATTAACGAGTATATGGATTAAATTGTTTGCTTGGGTTGAAATAATATCAGGAATGGCAACACCTGTTGAGCCTCCAAACGGCATTAGAGCCCCAGGGAAGCATTATTTTTCTATGTGGCAAACCTTGTTCGAGATTGATACAAAATATGTTCCAATCAAGCCTATAGGTCGAGGGGCCTATGGCATTGTCTGCTCCTCTATCAACAGGGAAACCAATGAAAAGGTTGCCATCAAGAGGATACATAATGCTTTTGAGAATCGTGTTGATGCACTGAGAACATTGCGTGAACTAAAACTTCTTCGCCATCTTAAACATGAAAATGTTATTGCTTTGAAAGATGTCATGATGCCTATCCAGAGGAGTAGTTTCAAAGATGTTTATCTCGTTTATGAACTTATGGACACAGATTTGCATCAGATTATCAAGTCGTCTCAGGGGCTTTCAAATGACCATTGCCAATACTTCTTGTTCCAGGTACTTCTGTTGTCGATATTTCATCTTATTCTTTGTGTTCCCTGCTTCACCCAACCCCTTCCACCCTCCAATGGGGGAATGGTGTGACTTGTGTAAAAGTTGAAGAACCTCTACTATCATTCTTAGCATATCATATGAAATGATAAAGAATAAGGAACTGGTTTGTACCAATGGGAGTTTGGTAAAGGAATAGGTCTTACTCATGCCTGATGCTAACCTCTCTACAGCCCAACCTCTACTCCATCCGCAAGTTTAAAACTCCTGAGCTGTCATTCAATGGTACGTTAAGCCCTCTGACAGCGTTATAATGCTGCCTCTTTCATTGTCCTTCATGAAACTTGTATCTTCTCCAAATCAAAACCGATTCTTCCACCCGCACCAACTATTTGTCCTCTTCACATGTCACTGCATTCCTAACTCTCCAACTTCACAACCTTTAACATCTTCTTCCTTTGCCAGAATCCACTACAGTAATCTAGGTTGTCATAGAAATTCTGTGTTCTGAATTTGTATCAGGTACAAAATTAAGTACATTTTTTAAAACTTTTAAGTACAGATTTTTATTTACAGCTTGTCAGCTTATGCTCCTTATCATTTGTTAGGAAAGTAAAAAGTAAAAAGTAAAAAATGCCACGGAGTAGTTAAAATAGCGAAGGAAAGGTACGCCCATTATTTTGTTGGATTTGTTCCTATATTGGAAAACATATCATCAATTCATGGTGTAGATAATCTTATCTTTAAAATTGTCTTGCTGGCTTGAGTTATTATTTGACACTTTTATTTATTACTTGGAAGATTTGAAATTCTAACAATGGCAATACGGTTTTTGTCTCTAGCTCATGTTTCAAATAAATCAGCACGTTCCTAAATCCCATACCTTATTAATTGCACTGGTGTCATTTCAGGAAGGTTGGTCTATGTTTGTGGGGTTATGTCCGTGTAAGCATTTAGTTATTTCCCTTGTTTAACTTTTTATGTTGGCCTCTAATTCTTTGGATCAATAATACAAGGGTGGTTGATTTTTACTTTCTGTATTCGGTGTCATGACATGTAACCACTTCTCATTGACATATATAGTACAGATTATGGATTTATATATTTTGCTTTTCTAGACAATCTCTTCCTGTTTTGGTTTGCTTTTCATGTTCTTTGCTGTTTCTTTTAACTACGTGGAATTTAAAATGCAGTTGCTTCGGGGTCTGAAATATCTACACTCCGCAAATATTCTTCATCGTGACTTGAAGCCCGGGAACCTACTCATTAATGCAAACTGTGATCTTAAAATATGTGATTTTGGACTTGCACGTACAAGCAGCAGTAAGAGCCAGTTTATGACTGAATATGTTGTTACACGTTGGTACCGTGCACCAGAACTGCTCCTCTGCTGTGATCATTATGGAACTTCTATCGATGTCTGGTCTGTTGGCTGCATATTTGCCGAATTGCTGGGAAGGAAACCAATCTTCCCCGGTACAGAATGCCTTAACCAACTTAAATTGATTATCAACATCCTTGGTAGCCAAAGGGAAGAGGATATCAAGTTCATTGATAACCCTAAGGCAAGAAATTACATCAAAGCCCTCCCATACTCTCATGGAAGACCGTTATCCCATCTTTATCCCCAAGCCCATCCTCTGGCAATTGATCTGCTGCAGAAGATGCTCGTTTTTGACCCTTCAAAGAGGATCAGTGTTACTGAAGCACTTCACCACCCTTACATGTCTCCACTATATGATCCTAATCACGACCCACCAGCTCAGGTCCCAATAAACCTTGACATTGATGAGGATATGGGGGAAGGTATGATCAGAGAAATGATGTGGGCCGAGATCATCCAGTACCACCCCGAAGCAGCTGCAACAGCCAGTATGGAGCTAGTTATGTGATCCCGGACCACCCCCTTTTCAGCAAGGTGGTCCTGCAAAGGTTGGTTGCCCTAGATAGCACCCTACCACCCCTCTAATTTATTGTTGTTCTGTGTTTTTTTCTCCCCGCCCCCCACACTAATAAACCATAAAAACCAGTGCATTATCAACTTGAACTGTGATGCAGACAGATCAGAACAGCTTCTTGTGCCAAGCTTCGTTTGGCGCGGGGCTCGTGTATAATTGTGGTTTTGTAGTTCAAGAACCTGATTTGATCATGTACATTAAGTCATTAACTACCTGTCATGTTGACTTAACAACTAGTAATCTAATGTTGTTTTCTGCACATTAAACATGGGTGGCTTGTTTGTTGGTGTATTCATGTATGGTTTTTGTAGATGTAATGGATTTGTCCATGATTTATATTCTGGAGTCTCACAGTACTTGTTTCCCTGCAAAAGCAGGTCTCTCTTTCTCTTTAGCTAGAGCTGTCAAAATGGGCTTAGTCTACCGGGTGAGTTCATCCCATCGGGTGGGACGAACTCTAAGGACCTGCCATGTTGACGGGCTTTTCAGCTCGTCCTGTCAAATGGCAGGCTTTGGTGGGCCCGTCCTGCTTTAATGGCTCTAGCTCTGGGCCTCTGGTTCATCATGTCTGGCAGTCTGGGAGACTGTTTCTGATGAAAGGGCCCAAACAATAATTTCTTTATGAGCCCATAAATGAAGGGAAGGCCATCAACCACATAACACGGTGTCAATAGTTATGCTGTGGAACCGTGTTCACTATGCGCATGGTGAACACGGGATAGATTCATAATTTCTAAGCTGTAGATTCATAATTATTATGGATCTACAGTATAAAAATTATGGATCTTCATAATTTTTATACTGTAGATTCATAATTTCTATACCGTACTGTAGATCCATAATTTCTATAGCATAAAGATTATGGATCTATCCCTGTGTTTACCATGCGCATGGTGAACATGTTTCCACAGTATAAATTGTGATACGGTGTAACACCTAATATCATCATTGTGTAAATTGAGAGCCTTGACCCTATGTGAGCAAACTTTTCTAATTAAGATGAATTTATGTATAATATGTATGTATCAAAAATTTTATAATCAAGCAATATAAACTTGTAGGCAATAAGAGATCACAAATTTGACCCTACTTATCTCATACCAAAATAAATTTATGTGTTAGCCATGCTGCTGGATTAAATATATTCTGGCGGCACATGGGGCCTAACTCAAACTGCATGCATATATAGAATTAGAATTAGAATTAGGTTGAAATGAGAATGATTAGTTTTGTGAAAAATGTTGACTAATTTCATCTATCTATTTAGAATAATAAATGTTGAAAAAAGAAAAAAAGAAACAAAATAAAGTGCAATGACATTCTCGTAATTACAATAATGCATTTGAAAACATTTGATAATATATATGCTGATAATTAATAGTGCACACACGTGAGTGTACCATTATAAATCCTGAGCATACTGTTACTATTTGACGATGCACTATCATATATTTTCAAATAAACTGTCATAATTATAGAAATATTATATGTTAGTTTATCCTTATTTTCAACTATTAATCATTTAGATCAATGGAAGAGATTAGTTTGTGTGTTCTCACAGAACCATTAATTCTCAGCCGACCCTAGCTCCATATATATATATATATATATATATATATATATATATATATGTTCAAATGCGGTTGGTGCGGTTAAATCTGAGCCAGATCTTGCTTAAATCAACATCCAAGATGATCAAAAACAATTTGATAATTTTTGCATCTAGGTTAAATTTAAGGTGCGTGATTTTTGTGCTTAAGGTGCGTAGGTTTTGTGCTTAATGTGAGTAGTTGTCGAAACTTAAAGTGCATGATTTGTATGCTTAAGGTGCATTAGTTGTGTGAAACTCAAAGTGAGCCATTTTAAAATCTCATGTGTGTGGTATGTGTTCTTAAGGTGCTTTGTTTGTGTGCCATTTTAATGCTTAAGGTGCGTGGTTTGTGTACTTAAGGTGCGTCATTTTAATACTCACTGTTAATCGCACAACCCCACGGGAAGTCTATACCCGCACCGGCCTGAATCCTTCCCCCCTCTATATATATATATATATATATATATATATATATATATATAATGAGAATCAAACCATTAGTCAAATACAATGTCATCACGATACTGAATTCTTATGATAAGATAAAAATTAACCTCTGATCCCATACATGCATTGAATGAGGCTACTAAGACAACATTATCTGTCATTATCACTGTGTTTTTTACTTATATTAATACTATTATTCCATTATCATGCGGCATGTCCAAACAACGTCTTAATCACAAAAAAAAATAAAAAATAAAAAATAAAAAATCACAAATACAAACGGTGTCTTTTTTTTCTTTTTTTTTTTTCTTTATTATTTTTTTTGAGTCTACATACTGGAAGCTTCCATGTGTGTGCTTCACGATCTACGGTCAGTTTTAATTTGCAAGTTCAATTTCATCTAATTTTTTTTTTTTTAAACAGGTTTTATTTGATTCTCTGAGTTCTGACATGCACAGACTTTTGTTTCTTTATGTTTTTTTCTAGGTTATCACATGTTTAATGATGTTGGCTTAATTAATGTAAGATAATTAGTGGCAACTGATACTAATGGAAGACAACTAATTAAATCTGGATTAAAGAATTGTGCGTTAGTTGGTTGATGTTTTTGGACTTCCACCGTTTTTGACAGAGAGAAGACTAACGGAGAATATAATAATGCATGGGGGCATCAATGAATTCTGTGAACTTTGGGTTAGTCAATTTGGGTTTATCGTTTACTAATCTTACCAAAAAGAATATAAATATTATATTTCAATGTCTAATTGTTGTAACTATTATGGTTGTCTATTAACTTTCTTAATTTGAGCTGGTCAGCAATGTACAACGAATCTGAACTGATCTGGTTTACCTCATTGCGATTCTTTATCGACTGGAGTCACAAGAAAGACTTTTTTGGTAAACCGAAAGAAGCAGCCGCCAGGGGCAATATAAAATGGTAGGTACGACTGGTTACAAAAACCACATGCATTGACAGGGAAAAGGATGGCAAGTTGTTTGCCTTTGGAATGAAGCTAAGTTAGGAGATTGGTTAAAAGATCTTTAATTTGTTGGAGATGAGATGAGATGATAAAATTTTTTTTTGCAAGTACAAATACAGATACGCATACACATGCAAATCCCATATTTTTTTGGACAAAAATATAATAAAGCTGTATATATGTCTTGGCAATCCACTATAATACCTTAGCATAATTTCTTTGCTTTTATGCTATCCTAGCTTGCTGCTACGTACTATACACACTTTTACACTGTTTTCATCTCTGAACAATCACGTTCCAAAATCTATCCCCATTCCCACTTTTCCTTTACCTTAAGCTTCAATCAATTACAATATCGGGACGACTACACTTTTTTCATATACTGCATTAGCATTTACATCTTATAAGACTACATTAATTTACCTTTTACAAAATTGTGATCATTCAGTATGTAAATTGTGTATTTTAGACTCGTATTCACTTTACAGGGTAGAAACTGGTCTAAGTCGTACTAAGTATATGTCTAGCTAGCAACTATTGTTGTGGAGTCTAATATATGTATTAAAGAAGCCCCATTTGCATGAACCTGAGACCCGGCCTATAGATAAATAGTCGGGACTTATACTGCACAGGCTAGGTAGTATTCGCTGCTTCTTGCGAGATGAGACTAATTCAGTTGAATTTCAGTAATTTATACAGAATATATATTATATGTGAAACTATGTACTAAACCAGTTACTATATATTGTATGAGAGGTTATTAAGTTATACTATAGATGTAGAATGTAGATGAAACTTAGCTTGTTAGTTGAACCGAATCTTTGTAAATTATAGAGTATGCCAATTAAGTCAATTTCCATGGTTGTATAGTAGAAGTGTAGAGTTAAGTTTGAGAGAAAACCCATTTGCAGACACAATGGGGGGCCCATTTGTGGAACTTTTTATTTTTGCAACATCATATATTCACTTAGCTTGTATTGTCTTTTGATGAGTTACAACTTGGTACTCAAGTGGACCCACAAACAGACCATTTACACTTTTTCTAGTACTCGTTTTCCCCACTCCGATAGTCGGATCTCATTTCTCTCTCCCTTTTCTCCCCCGTCGGTTTGGTGTGTGTATATATATATATATATATATATATATATATATATAGACTTCTCATGCGGTTGATGCACCTTAAGTACACACGCACCTTAAGCACACAACCAAAACATCTTAAGAACATAACCAGTCACCTTAAGTACATAAATCACGCACTTTAAGCACATAACAAAGCACCTCAAGAACAAAAATCATGCACCTAAGGTTTTAAAATGACTCACCTTAAGTTTCACATAACTGACGCCACCTAAGTTTTTAAAATGGCTCACCTTAAGTTTCACACAACTGACACACCTTAAGCATACAAGTCACGCACCTTAATCAACAACTACTCACATCAAGCACAAAACTCACGCACCTTAAGTTTCAACAACTACTCACATTGAGCACACAACCTACGTACCTTAAGTACAAAACTCACTCATCTTAAGCACAAAACACACGCACCTTAAATTTGACCTAACCCATGACCTTTGGTCTGATTCTGATACCAAATTGAAGAATGTGTTCCATCTCAACTAAAAGCCTAAGCTAATAGTTGGATTGCACATTAATAGTTATATGCTTAACAAACTGCATATTAAACTCGTGATTTTTAAATACGAGAATCATATTCAACCATCTCTTTTAGATCTTGTGATTAGTTTTTTAAAATATGTTTAGTTGTCTAGTGAAATCAATTTAAGAAGGTATAATGAAATTATAGATGAGAAGTTGTTCGATCAAACACCTAAAATTGGCCCGCACTATAACTCAAATCACCAAAACCTATGCAACTTGTGAGAGGTAGGTAAAAGGAGTCTAAAAGTGTGATTGGGGAAATAGCTAGATTGAAGTGTTGTAATGGTGTTATTCTCGTTAAGGTCCTGTTTGGTAACAAAGTTACGTTAGTTTATTAGTTAATTTTAGTCTATTTTATCACAATTAATTGTTTGATTTGCTTAAACAATTAATATGAGTGTTTGATTAAGTATAGATTTTTGTAACTGTACAACTTATTGTTCCAAAATCTTAAAATTAAAAAAAAAAACTGTTCAAAATAATTTTTTCGACAACTTTTTGAGAAAGTCATTTTGCATGTAATGAACTATCAATCAACAGCTAATTTACCAAACATTTTTCTACAATAAACTAATGATATTAA